CCCCGTGCCCAGAGCCCCCCACGCTGCCCACCTTGCCCCCACGCCAGCCCTCAGCCGTGCCCCGCAACTCCCCGCCTCCCTTCCCAGGGCAGCCGGTGCCCCCAGCAAGGTCCTTGGCCCCTGCCCCAGCCCTGTGCCCCCGCATGGGGCACCGTATGCTTTCGGATGGGCACCAGTGGGGAGTCTGGGCGAGCCGTACCTGTACGTGCTTTGCACGGCTGGGCTCCCTGGCCCCCTTATCGCCAACGGCTTGCTGGCCGCCATCTCCTAAGTTACTGCTTAACTTTCTCTGGCACAAGCAGGCATCTGCTCTCCGTGACCTTGGGTGAAGGTGGCACGGGGAGGAAGGCAGCCCTGTCTTGGGGTTTCCTCCTGGCCTGGCCTGTGCCAGGGCACTGTGTGGGACCCTCTGGCTCAGCACTGGCACTGGGGCAGGGCAGCACAGGACAGACATGCAGCCCCCAAAAAGGGAAAAAAAAAAAACCCACCAGCAACTGTTAAGTTTTGCACAGCACTGGGGCTGATGTGGGGAGGGAGGTTTGGGGGTTTTACGGGCATTCCTGGGCTTTCCAGCTCAGACCTCAACCCCCAAGTTTTGCATTGGGGCCCTCCACCAGTTCCCAGGGGCGGGGGGGACAGACAAAAGCCAGGCACCAGGGACAGGGCTGGCTGCCCTGGCTGCTGCCCTCTCCCAGGTTGGTGTGTGCCCTACTCCCACAGCTGCGTGTGGGCAGGATCTGGCCAGGCATCTGTGGCATCCTTCACAGATGGAAGGATCTGCTTCTGCAGGGTATTGCTCCCTTTCGGCCCAGAGCATCCTGCTGAGGCTGCTAGAGCTCGGTGCACATCAGGAGCAAGGGTGTTGGCACCTCAGCCCAGGGTGCCACCATGCCACGGGCTCACCGGGGCCACCCTGCTCCCACCTGCCCAGCCATGATCTCCCACCATAGCTTAGGTATCCTGCAGCTCCCCAACCCCAGCCCCGTCAGGGGGAAGAACAGCAAGGTGACATCCCTCAGTGCAGATGTCAACCCAAGCCCTGCCCCTGCTCTGAGGACAGGGGCCCATCCTGCCCCCACCCTCTGCTGCATTAGCCTTATTTTAAGAGCCTGGTTTCCCCCACATCCCTTTTTCCTCCCTCATTACTGCCAGATCTGCCCCTCGCCTCAGCATTACCCGCAGCCACAGGCTCCTTGCCCTGCACATTTGGCCAGGAGGGGTTGCATGAGATGAGGCACCCAAAGTTTAAGCCCAGCGTCCCCATAGCTGGGGGCTGGACCCAGCTGCCCCCAGACTCCCCACCCAGTGGGGATGGCAAAATGCCATCTCTGGAGTCAGCTATCTGCCCTGGTCTGGGGGAACTGGGAACCAGCATCTTGCCCCCAGTGCTGGCAAGGAGCCCCCCAGCTTCTGGAAGATCAGGGTAGCCCCCATGGAGGCTGGTGCTATGCCTCCCCCTCCGGGAGGGGTCACCTCTCCCCCCTTTGCCCCCCCCCAGGACACCTCCATGCTGCTCAGCTGCTGCTGCCCCGTTTCCACAGTGGGACCATGCCACCCCCACTGCTCCCCGGGGGATGTGCCCATCACCTTGGTGTCCGGCCAGGCCCCGAGCCCCTTGTTTGCTCTGACTCGGGTAAAGGGCTGTTTGCCAGCAGCCCTGTGCCTCGTCCTTGCTGGGATTTCTGCTTTCCATGGCGTGGCAGCAAGCCAGCCAGGGCCAGGGCCAGGGCCAGCAGCCCGAGGTGAGCCAGCATCATCCCAGGAGCACAGCAAGCCCTGTGCCCGCACCCCCTGCCAGGGCATGGGGAGCACAAGGGGACGCCCCTCTGCCTTGCCCACATCAGCTGGTTCCCTTGCTCAGAAATAAGCGCTCAGGACAGCCTCAAACCGAAAAGTCATTTTATTGGTACCATACATGACTCATAAATGGCACAAACTATGGAGGGGAGGAAGAAAAAAAAAAAAAAAAAAAAAAAAAAAAAAAAAAAAGACATAAAGTGTCCCAGGGGGGGG